ATAAGCAAAGCTTGTACGACGGAGTAGCTAAACAATACAGAGAGGCTGTACATAACTTCGTGCCATACTTCGAACAAACAGATAGCAAGCCTTCGTCCAGTTTTCTAACATTGTGAAACATGAAAGATTCATCTGTTGTTTTCGTAAGAATATCGAATCTAGCATATTAATTCATATACGACTCATCCAATATCGATCTGTTTGAATGAATCACTGGGTCACTGAAAGAAAGCAATATTCACAAGCGACGATTGCTTAGACAATTGGAATTCACGTCCTCTTCGTGACTTTTACCCAAGGTCTTCCCTTTCCAATACGATCAAATCACTCGTCGGAGGTCACGCCGATGAGTATCTTGTTCTCGCGTTACGCCGCTGCCATGCGATAATACGGCGGTAATGGTCGCGGCCGATTTTTTAGACGATTCCCCGTCGTTAAACTCGACTCTCTTTTCACAGTTCGCCCGCCATGTTTCGTAAACAATTGTTTGGAAGATCGATTCCCACTTTCAGACATCTTGCACTTAATGGAATAATCAGTACAGGACGTGGTCTAAATATACGAAATCAAATCCATTACCCCCTATAATTGCGCTTCCACTCCCAACCGATGTTATTATAGGGAGGCAATACTGTCTACACAACTTGGAGGAGATGGCCTAAATATGGACTAGCACTTTTACTTCAGGAGCTTATTGCCAAACCTATTGATGATTTTTAACGCTAGAACTACCAGCATTGAATGTATGTTAAGTTAAATTGTGTAATATATGTATAATACAATTTAGCTTAGTATACTATAATATGAAGTGTATAAGGAATTAGAAGTTAACATGAATTCCGATAAAAGTATCTCTAGGATTCCAATAATTGTAAAATAAAAACTCTGAAATCCGTCATTTTAACGGGTACGGTAGTTCTAGGATGAGGATGTAACAGTTCGATGTACTTAGGAAACATGTTTGTTTTCTGATGTGGTGTTAAAATAAATTTCTTTTGTTCTTGTGTCATAGTGTGACACTGTTCCTGTGAGGACGGAGCGCCTAAAATGACCCTAAATACCAGTGATAGCCAAATCTAGTCAGGATAGGAGCCATATATTACCTATCAGAAATATTCGAGAGCCGCACCCTCTATTGGAACGGTATTATATTATGAGTTACGCTTACAATCTGTGTATATATCGCACTGCATAATAAAATAAGGGAACTTACAAAAATATCATATTACATACGTATATGCAGGATGTGTCAAGTTTATGAAAAAAAATTGTATAAGTATATGGAAGCTGCACTAAGGGTCTAAAAGGGCCTGTGTGCGGTTCCCCAAACAGTGTTGGATTTCATTTCCATTTTATCTAAATTTTCATACTAATAATCTATAGTAGTATAGTATGTAAAATAATGTTTTCTGTGGCTCTAGAATATTCAAAAATGTATGAAAAGTATTATATGTGACCCTTCTTATCGAAGAACTTGTCCACTCTTGCTACATCTTTTCAGCTAGCCTATATTTGGACCCTAGTCTGTATTTGGACCACCTTCTCTATAATATAAAGATCTGGTCGATACGAACGACAACTCGGCGAGGAAAAAGGAAGCGAAAGTTTCGCCCGCGTTCATGAGTCCCGAGCGTGAAACTCATTGTGCCTGGAACACGTTTGACATTGCGGAACGCGTCGATGCTTACGGCATTGGTTTCATAATATTAATTATACTTCTGGCTCCTTGAGAAGTACAGCGTGAAATCAAAACTTTCTCTCCCGGTGGTGAGTTCCCTTCGCGGAGACGACGAAAACGCGCGTTCGATTCACGATCGTTGGGCAGGATCAAATGTCGAATTTATTAAAACGGTAAAAGCAAGCTCAACCGTTGGAGGAATGTGTTCCTTCTATTCGCCGTTGCGTCACCATGGCCATTACGGGGCGACACGTGTACACGGTATTTGTTATAAATAAATCATATTGTAGAACGTGTAACAATTTGTTGCCGACGAACAAACGTGGCGTTTATTCCATGCTGGCCGCGTTATTTTCTGATCGAGAATTAAGGGTCCATTCTGATGTAAACGCTGTAAAAAAAGGCCCTCTTAGGATTTTTGTAACGGAAAACTGTAACACATAGAGTAAACAATCAGTTTAGGATTTACTATTATATATTTTTTATGAAAAAACAAATGGGTTATGTTATTTTGTTTAATTTATTTGCGCCGGGCCTCCAACATGAGATATGGTTCGTTTCACGGAAATATGTATATTTTTACCTTATATTATTTCATTTATCACAAAGAAATGTAGAAATATTGAACAAAAATGTTTACTCAATATAAACTCAGAAGATATTTACAGGAAACATGTAGAAAGAAGCATTCTTTAAATTATTTTATATAAGTGTGTTAACATTTTATGCGCGGAATATTCCGTTTATCGGTGCAAATGAGTTAAAACCAGCAACGACTGAATTCAGAAAACCAAAGTTTTTCTTCAAACTTACAGGGATGGTTATCGTATTAAGCACCTTTATTGCAAAATAATGAAAAATCGTTAGTTGGTACCTGTATTTGTGACAGTGGTCTAAAAATAGGTAATCTTTTCATTAAAAATATTAAATAAAAAATGTATTGGGTAACCAAAACTTCTGAATCTGTTTGATACAATAACCATCCCTACAAGTTTTAAGAAAAAGATACTCAGATGAGTAGATCTCGAGATTTTAGGTACACTGGACATCCCTTTTTTTAACGTCACAGTCATTGCTGGTTTTTACAGTTTGTATTAAACAAAACAGCATAACAAAATTTTTAATATTTTAAAATGTATAATAATAAACCCCAAGCTGATTGTTTACTGTATGTGTTATAGTTTTCTTTTACAAAAATCTTAAAAAAGCTGTTTTTTTAGAGCGTTTACATGAGAATGTACTCTAAAATTACACGGTGGTTACACGACACACGGTGTAACATTTTCGTTACGAATATGACAAGATCTTCGGGGTTCCGCCGACAGGAAGTTACCTCGAAGGAATTACCGAGATCTGCCAGGATTTCCCCTTTTACCTAGGTGATCATTAATCAGCAAGATCGCGGCCGCTTTTGTTACGTTATTGTATCCCAAGATCCGAGTCTATTATGTTTATCGATGTACACTTTACTTACAGACGATTATGTTGGTGGGGAAGGCACAGTTGATTTCACTTCCCAGAACAATGGAAATACATCTTTCGATTTTTTCCGAGTAACAACTTAATTCGAACTACTGCGGTAATCGCTAGATTAAAAAACATCAGTTTCTTAGGGTAAAGGCAGCAATGAATCAACACTTACAAGATTTTGTAACTATTAAAGTCGAATTTGAAATGACAATAGTGTTAATAAATGTCTGGCACATAAAAATTAGATTTTTAAAATATTTATACTTTTTGATAACGTATACATTTCAAATAAAAAATTGTAAAAATGTAATTAAGTAAATTAAAAAGAAAAAATACAGATTTCACCAGTGAATGAACGATTTTAACCAGTAGGTAAATGAATTTCTAATCAGTGTAGTGCGAAATTATTTGGATATGAAACAAAGAATTGAAAAAATGAATATTTAGTCATTCTTTTATTTTAATAACTTAATTCACTCGTTTTTCTGTATAATGTTCATTCGCTTGTGCATCTCCCATATAATCTGAACTTTTGCGGTACATTGCAAATTATATAATATAATATTTATTTATTGTATGATTATAATAGTGAAGAAGTGATTATTTTTTGCAACTTATTGAATTAAAAATGATGCAAAAAGTTGGATTAATAAATTCTGAACTAAATACATTTTATGATGGAGCCGTTGGACAAATATAATTTTTTCGTTAAAATTGTTGTTTGAAAAGTAGCATGCAACTTTTCTATATTTTCTCTGATATTTTGTGCAGAGACTTTAATTTCATTCAGTACTACTTAAAATTTCTATTCACTTTTATCTCTATTCAGTGTCAAATACACCCCCTATAGAGGGTGTAACAAACATGTTGCAGGATCCTAAAATAGGTCACTTGTGAGTCGATTTGGAACAAATTTTACCTTAGGAAAAATGTCATAATTCTTTTACGTTAATATCTCGTTAAGAAAGCCTCGGGTAACATTTTTGTTAAGGAAGACTTGTTCCACATCGCCTGACGAGTGTCCCATTTGAAGGACTTGCAACATTTTTGTTACACTCTGTATATTCCGCGTTATATAAATCCGTGTTACAAGAACTCGTGCTATATAGGATTCTATTGTAGTCATAACCCGAAAGTACTATATCATTAGTAAGAGATGCTAAAGGAACATAACATTTTAAAAATAGTCATGACTCTCTAACAAAGACGACGTTTCATGTGCGGTAATTTAACAGATTGAGCACCTTTTATTTCACGGCGCACATCGATAGCAACTTTCCAAAAAATATTTACGTAGAAACAGAATACCATGTACAGGAAAAGTTCGCCGGTTAATTACACAGATGAGCTATCATTAGGCGGGCAATTCAAGTCCTTAGCAGAAAGCTAAAGCGAATGTCAGAGAAACGTGAGAAACATAATCTTGCGACACGTCACCGCCTTCCGCCGTTTCTAGCATAGGCGGGGCACGGAACGATGAAATTAGTGTAACGAAGCTGTCTTTGCATGACGCGAACCGACAAAAACCGCATTATTGGGTTAAGGACGTCACACGTGTTTCGTTTACTTCATTCCGTTGCGACAGAATTTCCAGGGAAATCTGGGCCGTATTTTTTCGTATTATCTTCGCCAGGCGATAAGGAACTTCACGCCAGCCGTAAAACGTACACTTATGATTCACGAGTGATGAACAATGAATTATTACAGCCTGTATATAGAAAACAATCCTACCTCATTTGTCTTCTTAAACTCTCGTACCATACGACATTATAACGTAAAAATTGTCTATATCGATCGTGTGCAAGATACATATTTCCATAGATAATAATTTACAATATTTTTCTGTTTCCAGACGATGTATACTGACGGTCTCCTAACACTCCATTATGGGAAGCATCCAGCGACCTTGGCCGCGGAGGTCGGAGCCTGGTACTCCGGGGACCGTCACGTGGACGTGACGTTGGCTTGCGACGACGGGTCCGTCGTAAAGGCCCACCGCGTAGTTTTAGCAGCAGCTAGTCCTCTATTGGCTGGTCTACTCCGTAACCCGGCCTTGGACCATGTGGTACACTTGTCCGGGGTTCGGAAAACCCAGCTGACTCATCTGCTGGAATTTCTCTATAACGGAGAAGCCCTTATACCGGTAAGATCGAATGAAAGTTTTCATTTTAGAAACAAGTGGTATAGAAATCATACTCCTATTTCCTTTTCAGTCGACGGAACTCACACCGTTAAGGGAACTATTCGAACTCCTTCAAATCAAGTCAGAGTTATTCGAGCCGAATCAACCACAGACCTCAAGCAACTCCGACCCCGAAAGGATACCCACACCTCAGCCCTCCGAAGGCCAAGAGAGCTCGAGCTACGAGTCCCAGTACGACGGCAGGTACGGCACACACAGCTCGCTTTGGCGCCAAAGTGATCGTGAAATGTCACAATAATCAGCGAAACAGATATACCCGTAATTTCCAAGATAGAAAACTATTAAGATTAATTTCTAGTTTTGCTTTGCAAGATATCGATCCGCGTAATGTCATCCGTTCGCGCCTTTATCTTAACACTTTGTCTAACGTTTCTGCCTCGAGTTCCCAAATGGAGACGAGCCGATTAATGTGTCGGGATAATGCGAAAATTACAAGTTTATCCATCCGATTCGAGAGATGTGTATCATCGTGATCTGACATTTCAGGCAATCGAACAATCCCGCGGACTGTTGCTCGGTGCTGATAAAAACCGAGGGCTGCGAGGAGGAACCGGAAGTCGACGTGGAAGGGATCGAGGGGGAAGCGTTGCTCACGGAGAACAGGGAGGGCAGTATAGAACCGCCACGAAGGAGGGACAGCTCTGATCCTGTGAACCTCAGTTTAAATTCCGGGACATCCACTACCAGCGAAAGCTCGCACGACATCGTGCCTAGGTAGGAGATCCGTTCAGAGAACGTTGAATCCTTGGTGTTTTTTCTGTGTAACGTTGACAGTCGTGAGAATAGATCTTGAGAAGTTACACGTGTGTTTCGCTTCAGCAGGCCGGAAAAACAATTACTGGAAAGGCGAGAATCTCTGGAGGAGGCGGAAGAAAGAAGAAGACAATTAGCGGCTCGGCTCGCGTTAGGATTAGAACCGGGAAAACGGAAACCAGAGGAAATACCTATCCCACCTGCGGAGGCGTACGTTGTCACGCCCCATCGGAAACGAAGGCCGGGCTTTCACAATGCACCAGCTCAGAATCCGGCTTTTGTACCATTTAATCCTGGATTCGAGACGCCGAGGCGGTTGCAAGCGCCACATCCTCTCAGCGTTTCGGCACCACCGTACCTGGTACGATATGAATAACATTGCCTTAATTTTTTTAAGACATTAAGTTCTTTAATTTCTTTTTCCAGCAACTTTACGCTGTTTTCTGGTATTTTTGACCTACAATCGACACATTTAATCATTTAACTCTTAGTATTGCACCGGTGCAACAATCATTTTAGAAATGCGTCAAATTCTGTCATTCATTTTTTGGCAGCAAGAATCCGTAGTTTCACTGATAGTCAACTAAGTCTCAACGTTTTCGGTTAAGAAATTGAAGTATTCCCTTCAAAAATAAAGAAAAATTAAAGAAAAATTAAAATCTAGGTCGGTTTAATATCGATGTTTTCGATATCAAAACAACAAGATACAACATATACGTGTATCAGTCCCATAATTTTGAAATAACGATTTAAAGATCTGGGCGTTAAAAGGTCAAGTGACTCCATGTCGTTTTCTGACGTTCTTGATCTATATAATCGATACAGTTAATTATTGAAAATATGAAAGTAATTAAAATTTCACGAATTTAGAAATAAAATTTTCATTTAAAAGGTTGTCTATGAAACCAGTCTTAATCTCGTTACCTAGACTGCTAACTCCCCAAATTTTGCTTATACAAAATGCCCTCCAAAAGCATGTACGTACTAAAGTATCTCATTCTGCACATGCGCAGACCCGAACTCGAGTCCGCGCCGGGACAGTTTGTAAATTAATTTTCTTCCCGATGCCCGAGTCTCGGCAACAAAAGCGGAGGGGCAACAAAGTATGCGCATGACAGGTTCCACGCCCCCCCCTCCCCCAGTAGTAGGGATAACGCCTGGACAATAATCGTGTAGAACAAGTCAGACGATAATCGATAGGAGTCTGTATATTTTCTTATGTATACTTTAGTATATGCTTTTTGAGAACATTTAATATAAGTTAGCAGTCTACTATAGAACATAGAAGTCTGTGGGGTTAAGTAAGAAAGATCAGAATTATATGTTAAAATAACAATATTATGAAGAATATACCCTGATAACCAGTTGTATGCAAGTTTCAAGCAAATTGCCGGCAAATAATGACAAAATTTGTCTAAGAAACCATAGTCACCTGTTTCCGCAGTTGACTTGGGTTTTGCAGGTAAAGCCTGCTGACAAAATAGTAAAGCAAATTGGCAGCGAATTAGTAGCAAGTCTTGCAACACAGCCCAGGCACACAACTAACCTATGTGGGTCAACTTATAACATGGGCTATATTGCAAGACTGGCTGGTAATCTGCTGCCAAACCCAGTGCAAGTTGTTGATAAGATCTTGCATCAAACTTGTAGCCATGTTGTGTATGTAATATTATAACAGGCATAGGACAAAATTTGGCTTTGTAGGTTTGGCTGACTTGGTATTGACTATACCAAGTAGATAGTTAGTATGCTGTCTGAGGACATTTTATATAAGGAAGTTAGCCATCTAGTATACAATATAGAATTCTGTGGTTTAATCGTATGCAATTTGTTTCCACAGCAGGACAGGTCAGTGACACCACCAGGAGCATCGCATCGTCCACCGAGCGCGGATCCGGCGTCGGCGGCGGGCCTCGAACCACCATGGGGTTCGTGGGCGCTGCCCCCCGCGAGGGCGCCACCCCCACCACCGACGGACGACCCGCCGAAATCTACCCCTGTGCGCGAGTATCGGTGTAGTTATTGTGGCAAACAGTTCGGGATGTCCTGGAACCTGAAGACACATCTGCGAGTGCACACTGGTGAAAAACCGTTCGCGTGTAGACTATGCGTGGCTATGTTCAAGCAGAAAGCCCATCTGCTGAAGCACCTTTGTTCGGTCCACAGAGGCGTGATAGCGGCGCCCGACAACACGTTCACCTGTTGTTTCTGTTCGTTGAGCTTCGACAGCCTCCAAGAGCTGATCAGGCATCTATCGGGGCCGCATAATAATCTGCTGCTCAGCAAGAATCTGCACGACTAGCGACCGGGTTATTAAGGCCACAAGCCGGTGCTGAGGCAACACGCGTTCCGATACCCCTTGCTCCTCCGCACCATCGTCCCCGATCGTTCTCGATTCGAGCGTTCTCGAATTATTGTGTAGATCAAGAAGAAAGTACGAGTGCCTTCGAAAAATTTTTAATATACACGCGACAAGCTAGCCATTTCCAGTATTCGCCTCCCCTCGTTCAAGCATTTCTCTTTGTTGCCTTTTAAACACGGAATCGTTGGTCTGGATATTGATCTCGAGACACCACACACACGCACAGGGGGCACTCGCCAAGTGCCTATTAGAGAATTATCTCCAAATATTTTCACCGATTTCCACACGCGCTGCTTCTCCGCGAAAACTGTTTCAAAGCCAGCCCGTGGAATGTGGATGTCGAGTCACGATATCTTGAAAATCTTTGGAGAGACCGTTTATTGTTACCAGATTGTATTGTTGTTTCTTCGCGAAGAAAGTCGACACACGTCTCAAGTGGTTTTTATCTTGAAATAAATTGAAACTCTGATCGTTGGATTCGGACTAATCGTCGGTTCAAAGATATCTCGTTTTCTTCAGAAAGAAACAGCATTAAGTACCGGATAGAGCCTTCGACCAGCGCGGTCCGATCGTTCCCGCGGATTCATTTTCGGCTCGAAACGGTCCGTAGTCGATGCCAACGATCGTTCACCACAGTTTATTATAATAAGTGATGACCAGTAATTCTGACCAAATAACATATTTCCGGCAGTCGACGGCCCAGTCGGAAGTGTGTCGGGTATGTTGACGGTCTCCATGAGGAAACGTTACGGAAGCTGAGACGAGAACCGAAATGGATGAGGGTAGTATCGAATGGGGGGTGGGAGGGGTGGGGGGCAGAAGTAAAAATAATTGTCATTCGTCGATTTTTTCGACGTGTCCACGTAAACGAATTCGATGCCACGCGCGTTCTCGTTGCGTCTTTTAGTTATCGCGATACAAGCTTCCGAAACGCTTCAGGTTCGTGTCTCACGCGACACCGAACAAGGACGTCTCGTTTACCTCAGCGCGCGCAACACGCACACACACGCACACACAAACAATCTCACGAATGTAAATAATGTTAATTGTTAGTAGTAGGAAAAGAAAACCAAGCGGACGGATAGCGATTTATTTATTTTACACTTTGCAAAGGGACCAACCGATTTTCCACCGATTTCTGTCTTAGGTAGATGTTAGGTGTCCTGCCCGTCAATCGCCTCGAACTAGAATCGCTCGCAGAGAGCCGAACGGTGTCAAAATTTTCACGTGTTAAAAGAAAACGCATTCGATTATGAAGCCCCGCGAAATCGAACGAAAAAGACATTGGGCTTTCTCTATACCCCACACACGAAGAGGAACATTATCGGCGAGACGCGATTTTAGGAGTCAACAAAACGAATAATTCGCCGGAAAGCAGAAGTAGAAATAAACAAAAAAGGTTGCTAATGTTCTTCCACGTAAAATCCTTCGTCTTCCATTTTTATCATGAATCCTTCTTCCTCTTGATCGGCCCCCATCCCTCCTCCCCCACCCTTCTATGTATTTCCACGTTTTACCTCTGTTTCTTTGATTCTGGTGTAAAGCATCTTTTGGTGTCTCAGCGACTCGAGTGCCTTGTCAAATGGGTCCAAATTGGTCGATTGGGCAGTGATTTCATGTGTTCATAGGCTTAAGATACGTACACGTGTAAGATGACGATACGAGCTCGCTTTAGGAATTGATTGGAAAACGATCAATTAATTCCACGCAGAAAGGTTTTTAAATATCCACTCGAATTAATCCAAGTTTCGTTAGGGATCTTAGATAGAAAAACGTTTTTTTTTTTTAAGTAGTAGGCTTCTTGTTTCTCTAATTCCTCTATTTTTTTCTTTTTTTTTTTTTGTTCGTTGGCGCAGGACGTCATGATTCATTTCCGATTCTTTTCTAGGTAGGTGATTATTACCTAAGGTGCCTTGGAGAAGGGCCTCAACCTCTTTTTATCTCCTTGTCCCTGCGATTAGTCTCGAACGTTGAGACGGGCGGTCCGAGACGAACGGAAAAAGGAAGAAATTTCACGTATTTATACACCTACATTCCACCTGGACATCCCCAAGAGCAAGAAATGCGCTAAAGAAAATACACTTTATAAACGCTCGAAAAAATTTGGATAATTCATCGAGAATCGTTTTATTGGAGTCATATGTACACTGTTTTCGTAACGTCATTCTTTGCTTATCGTTCTCGTGCATAATAAATTCCTTGCCTATCGATAGGGGACTCCTCGTCTGGGATCGATCAAGCAGGGCACACAGCGTACGCACATGAAAAGGATGGTAAAAAGAGGTTCGAGGGGTGGTGTGTGCGCTCTCATTAAGCCAGACAAAACACGGCCAGCACAAAACAGTGAACGCAATGTGATACTAAATGATAATAAAGATAAAGTAATTATTATTTAGCGTGCGACGCCTTCGGGCGAATGGCACGAGCGCAATCCGCGGCTCCGTCAGGGAAAGGGAGGAATATTTTTCCAACGACTCGGGGTGGATCATTCCGACCGGGATCCTTTTTTCTGCGAGCCACCTAAATAATTCTTAGTAACCAACGTTTCGTCGATTTTCTGTCTTTTTTTTCAAAATCCTCCCCCTCTCTGTCTCCCCCTAGAAAACCCCCCGTCCAACCCCCTCGTCCCCTCTTCTCGAGACGTAAGTGCACTAGGATTACGTATACAGATTATTTTACCGTTCATTAGTTACGTTTATCGTGTATGCATACACACACGCAACTCGTGTCCAGATGTCCGGAAAGGATACGTCATCGTCTTTTGCGACCATATTGTCGAGGTTAATGGTTTCCCGATGAACACGGTTCGATCGTCGTTCTTGATACGATCGAACGAAGGAAATGTCTGTACGGAAACTGGAAGAGAATACGTTTGTCAGAAATTTAACTCGTATTTGAGCCCTGGAATGCATTAGTGGTGCAAGCCAATAGATATGATTTTGGGGTATTTAAAGTCTTAGACAACATCTTGTGTATCAAGTTGTGTTAGGGTGTTTTGAGTATATCATATCAACTTGAATTATTACTAACTATACAAGAAGCTAAATATACATCATTTGTGAATGAAGTAAGGGCTATCTCCCTACGATGTTAACCAAAATTCATCGAAAATTGACTTACACCATTAATTCTTCCAAAGGTCATTTCTAGCGACAAACAGGAGGATCTTTTCGTTTATTGTTCGTCCTTCTCGAACAGATGTAAAATACTTGTAACTAAAAACTGATAGTCTTTCGTTTATTTTTCGATCTTTTCGTTTATTGTTCGTCCTTCTCGAACAGATGTAAAATACTTGTAACTAAAAACTGATTATATCAAGTTTTGCCTATTGAAAAGTGACATGGTATGAAACACTAAAAATTTTTATCACTGCACAATTTATATTAAATTCGAAGTTTTTGTATCACGTGAGCTTGAAAAGTTGGGCAGTAGTTTGATTAATGGGTTGTGAAGTACGATGAATTAGCATTCTCGATCGTTTATGGGATATTTTAGAGTCGATATCAAAAAGTTTTTAATTTTGTAACGCAATCTTGGATTTTCACGATGGAAAAATATTTTGTCTTTCGTTGTTCTCGTGCAATTATAACCGTTTTTTCTTTATCTGTGCGTTATCGTTACAACACGTTCTGTCCTTCGGACATCTGGTCAGAGTATCGTAGATTTTAAGCATCTTCCGAGCGGAAACCGTTTCCGCGTGCTTTCTTAGTGTTCATAGGTTTACAAAAAATAAATTAATTCAAACAACAAATGCGTAAGAGGATGACGAACCAGATACCTCAGACAACTTGGCTGGTGCCAGTGTCCTTTCCTTTTTCTTCCTGAATAAATTTCTTTCTCTTTAAACAGGTAATCGATTCAGAATCAGTGATAATTTATTTGCGAAATATTTAAAACAGAATTTATTAAGTCTCCGAAAAAATTTGTTCATCTCTGAAGTTTTTGTGATTTTGTAAAATTGGCAAGTAACGAGAGCATTGTACAATATAGTCTCAACTGAGATCTAGAACATGAAGTTTCGTTATTTTTTTATTCGTTTACATATGTACCATTTCGACAAAAAATCAGGATTCTTAATTACAAAATATTCTATAGATAATATCTACAGTTTCTTCATTTTTTTGTTGGTAATGTAAGCAATCTTACAAGGACTGCAACGTCTTGGGCTCTTTTAGTGAACTAATTGTGTACTTCTTTCGTAACACTCAGAATATAACTTTCTTAGAATACTTCAGAACCAAAGTAATCTATTTTAAAATAAATACCAATCGTTTTCAACAATTTAATAGTTGGAATTGTGAAGTATTTTACAGTATAATGTCCGGACACCTGTGTATTATTGGTAACGAAAGGAAGATAATGTTTCACTTGACATAAAACTTACACTTTGGGTAAATTATTGTTAAATAATTTAAACTTTCGGAAAGTCGGATTAATACACCACAGTTTCAAAAAATTTCTTTGTCATGTAGAAACAATTAAAGTATTTTATACTGTCAACAATTGCCTTGATATTTCAAAAATTATATTGATAATTGAGTTCTTTTCGTAAGATACAAAGAAAAATGCATATTAATTACAACCTTTTCGTTTATTTTATGGAGCTACCAGAAAAAAACGTATTTCCTACAAACATAATGTAAAATAAACCAAAATAATCCTACGATTATTCGTAATAGCATACAAGCACTCTCAATTTTTTTTTGGCATTGAATATACAGTTAAATTACTCCAATATAACAAATTATTCTATTTTATGAACGTCTCTAAAGAAATATTTGGTCGAATGCAAAAAATAACATAGAATGCTTCCATGCAACGATATTACGTGGTCATTAGCTCAATATAATCATTAGACCATCGATCATTCGAGCAATTTAGTTCAATAAATCGATAACGCCACTCTAGTTATCGATTACTTAAACGAAGGGTTTGTATAAGGCTGATACTTCTAGTTTTAAATTTCTGCTACTATTTTAATCCTTTGCACTCTACTACCACCATTACAGTGACATACACTGTCTGAAAATATAAGCCTTCGTCTATATTAACAAACACTAAATCAATGAATAAAATTAAAATTATAAAGATTTACAAATCTCTGTTGGAAGAACCCAATTCTCAATTTTGACGAATAACACTAGAAGCACTACAGATCAGCTTATTTTTTACTGCAACAGATTTTCATCGAATAGACAAAATTTTGATATCGACCCATCAATCGTAAAGGACAACTTAACCAATCCGAAGAAAATACTACAGCTACTAGCTTTTTTGAAACAAACGAAACATTACCAAAAACCATAGTATCGTAATTTGAAATGCAACGATAATAACCCCACTGTTAGAGGTTGATGCAAGTATGAGGAATAAATGAAAAAAAAAAAATAAATAAAAGTGTCTTCCTACTAAAAAAATCCCGAAACGCGAGGAGTTAATATATTCAAATCCCCACAATTGTTTTTAGTTTCCAACTCATGTTCGTCTGACTACAGTCCAGACAGGTTTAACAACTCGTGATAGCATTATCAAGGAATCAACAACCGGCTAATCGGAACTACGGTAATTCAAGAATCCGGATAGTCTACGTTCCCCCTGTAATAGCGGTGCCTGGATTCAATACTTAACGAAATGTAGCCGGCCGAAGTGACTACTTGAAAACTAACGGTCCGATGACTTTAACGATTTCATACAAAAAGAAAACACGACGAGAAAACCCGTTACCGATGGGTTCCACGTTTTCGAGCGCGCACGGTGTAGTTATATGTATATGCTAAGCGCTTCGGCGACAGTGTCGATTGCATAATTGCAACGCGATAAGTAATAGTCAGAGGTCTTGTTTTACTCCGCAGGGGGAACTCGGATACATTTGCCATCCTACCTGTTCCATTTGCGAACATAAATACATGCTGGCCTGCCTAAAGGTCGAGGTTGCTGAAACCGGCTTCATGAATGGCTGCAGGAAGAGGAATAAGCGCCATCGGAGGTGTAAGTTTCACAATTGTGTGCATTCTAAGAAGGCCAGTTTGATTCGCTCTAATCTTATACCTATCGTCAACAAACGATCGGAAGTGAGATTTGAATCTGATAACTGGACTGGGGGATGTTTATGCACATATGGAATTTTATGGGTCAAATTCGTAAGACTGGACGAGAAGACAAATTGGTTTATCTTTTTAAGGGTTCTTGTACATTCGACATAATAAGAAAACCTAAATAGACTTTCTGGAACTATTTACCATAGTGGATTTTAAACGATTGGTTATTCTAGACTTTGAAAATCTACCGTGACCCTGATATTTATCGATACAGAGTTGTATTCATTGTTCATGAATTAATTGTATTAATAGAACAGTTAAAAAATGATCTGTATTAAAAATACAGGGTTTCATTTAGTTTTGATATTTAGTGAGTCCAAAGAATAAACGAATATACGGGTTAGGTACCACAAGATCTTTGTCAAATTGCACATGTTTCAATCATTTCTATGTTGGTTCCAATTCGAATATTTAAAATAACTAATGTTATGGATGTTTCTATTTAAAATTTTTTGTTATTTCGTCACTATATTAGATTAGAAGAACAGTTATTGAAGAATGAATGGAATATTTTACTCTGAATAAGGACTTTATAGTTATTTGTGATCATAAGACGTAAAATGAAGAATCGTATTGTATACTACATGAAACTTGCAGTATTGTTTGGATCACACAATAATATACTCATTTGATCTTCTTAAAGTATAGTTGATGTTACCATAGAGGAGTCTTATGCAATAAGGAGATCGCGTCTACTTTATTTTTCTATGTAAAGTCTATTTCTGGTTTTCCGTGAGCAGATTTGTAACATAATCGAATAGATGTTCAAATAATTTGAAATGAGCACTCAAAAATATTTTTATTACACTAAGAAAGAAACATGTATTAACAGAAAAGAATCAATACTTTCTGATCGAAGTTTCCCTTTTACAATTGATAATCATATGGAGTCACTGTGTAGCAGATTATTATTAATCTTTACACTGCCGGTATTTCTCTTTAAAAATGTGGCATTTCTTGTCCAACCTAAAGGTTAACAACTCATTTCAAACAATCATTAAAATTTTACATTTTCTGCAAGGATTCAATGTCAAGCACGATGTTTGAATTTGAACCGTAAGCAACACACCGTTAAAGTACCAGCAGTCGATAACAAAACGTCAACTACCTGTCCCCATAAACGATGAAAGCCATTGAAACGACTTCGTTCAGATTATTAAATCCCCTTCAAAGAATTATTTACGATCATCTCCACAACCCTGACCGCAACCACCAGACAAGTCGTTGAAAAATTCATAACCGCGACGGCGCATAGTAGACAAAACTCTATTTCTTCCTGTGAATGTTTTGCAAAAGTATAATTAGATTATTCTAATTAAGTGTCTGTCTCGAAACACAGTAGGTATATTAATGTTTTTACTGTCCACAGATCCTAGAACTTGTGCTTAACTTAGTCTTAACTTAGTCTTAAACTTATGCTGTCGTGACGATATATTTGCGTTCATAAGGCATATTTAAATACAGTAGACATTTGAGCGGTTGTTTTAGCAAATACCAATAAGAATATAAACTTTTTACGTGTGGACCCTAGTAAGAAAAATATCTATTTACATATATTATCAGTCATTATCACATGATTATACAGCTTTACTAGAAATACATTGCATGGCATAACTATTATGTGAAACCACTTTAAAATTTTCAATCCTTATATAGTGTGGTTAAAATTAAAAAGGGACCCCCTATTTTTAGAGAATATAATCTATCCTTTTCTGGAGAAACCTTATTTCTCAGCACGATTTCAGACATGGCATACTTGTTTCGTTTTTATTTTAACCACAAAACATAAGAATTGAAAATTTTAGGGTGGTTTTATAGTTATGCCATGCAAGTGTATATTAGATTTCCGTTATGTATTATATTTAAGAGTAACACTCAAAGTAAACTGTGATCTTTGTCAGGCTATTCCAAAAAAGGTAACAAAGGTGTATTCTAATTTTTGTTTGATTTCACCCCATAAACTCACACCTTACTGTGCACAAAATTTCAGCTGCATCCGTCAAAACATTAACTTTTGTTGCCACTGTTACTATACAGCTACACAGTTTTAATTATGAAATAAAATATTATTACCATATATTTTTTCATATCTGTGAGTATATAATAACTTTTTCTAGTCTTGTATAAAAAGTACGGCACAAATTTGAATGTGCACTTAAAAGCTTATCGGTAAAATACGACATTATTTGTTCTTTGTCTCATTCATTTAATGGAATTCAAGTGTCGGGTATGGTTGCAAATACAATGAAAACTTAGTAAACTCTAATTTCTCTCAAATATATCAAGAGTGTTTATCGATTAAAGGTTAGCAAAATTAGGTTTCGTTACGAATAATAACATTATAATGAGAATTATTGTATATAACTGTGACAAAGGTAAAAAAATAGTCATATAGCAACGAATGAAAAATGATATTAGGCGCTTTCAAAATGTTAAAATAATAATTGTGTATAATATGCACAACAATTCAAAAAAATTTGTCTTTGGTAACTTGTAAATAATAATTTGAGAATGAAACGGTTAATATGCTGTTCTTCGAGATAGACATTAATTAGAATAACCTACTTTCGTAAAATAGTCACGTGAAGAAATGGGGTTTTGTTCCGCTAGATCAAATGGATCACTGTGCAACAACCGGTCCAGGTTGCAGTCCTGGTGTCGAGGTCGGGGAATTCCAGATAAAACCGTCGTATATACATATAACCCGCGACCCCGAGAGTCAATAGACACATGTTCAGGCCCGTTACAATTGCCGTATACATATACACCCATGGAATCTTGGCATCCCATCAAATCGTCCGACACCAATCCCGCCGTTCAAGGGATACGTCTTCATCGGCTGGAAAAAGTACCGTTGCCGTGGAATTGCATAATGGGGGCCCATGGTGTGTTCCCTATATTTCTCTCTCTGTTTGGGATCGAGCCGGCCGCTGTCGTCGATTACTACCTCGGGCTTGAACCTTCTTGCCAAGAAGTCGCCGGTAACATTGACCAATGACCATCGTCTTCGTTGACCAGACTCCAGTGAGGCCACGAAGAGTACCGTAAGGATATTCACGTGTTGGTAAAACAGAGGGGGGTAGTGGTGCCCGGTCAACGCTCCTGCACTCGTCCGGTTATTGTATATAAGGCAGGAGGCTCGAACCTCGTTCACGGCAGATCAACGGGAGACATGATCGGAAAAATAGTTTTGCTTCTATCGAGTTTGGCCCTGGCCACGGCCCAGGTGCCCAGCCTCGGCTTCTGTCCGGAGTACGTGCCCATGGCGAACTTTGACATGAGCAAGGTATGGATTCAACGTCCTTATTCTATCGCATAATACTCAAATTCCATATTATTGTACTTCATTGTTAAAGGAATTTGAAATTATAATTGGATTTTATACATTTACTGGCTGAAAGAGGGTAGTGTAAAAGTTTTGATACATGCTATTGGAGTATGAATTTCAAGAGTATACGAAAACGATATTGTTATATTTCATTGTTGGAAAAATTCGAAATTACAGCCGTCCCTCGATTTACGCGGAGTGTTTGCTCCATGTGGTTCTTCTTTATGCGAATAAAAACAGTCTGAATGGAGTCTGTTTGTATGAAAATAAAATTCTCAAGAGAAAAGGTAGTATAAATTATAAAAATATTTATTTAAAAAAAAAACTAAATGGAACGAATACTCCGCGTAAAACGAGGGACAGGTGTATAATTAGATTTTATACATTTAGTCACTGAAAGAGGGTAGTGTGAAAGTTTTGATACATGTTGCTGGAGTTTTAACTTCACAAGTATACGCAAACGATATTATTATATTTCATTGTTGAAGGAGTTTGAAATACTAATTGGATTTTATACATTTAGTAGCTGAAACAGAGTAGTATAAAAGTTTTTATACATACTACTGGGATTTTACTTTCAAGAGTAGACGAAAAGGATATTATTATACATATTTCATTATTAAAGAAATTTAAAATTATAATTAGGTGTCAGATTGTATGCATTTAGTGGCTGAATCGGTGTAGTGTAAAAGTTCATCTTTTATCTAATACATCAAACAAATATTGCTGTCATTCCTGTTTTTGTAAAATAGTTAAAAACTCTATAAAATGTAGATTTGGTGCTTTCATTGTTTGCGACGGCAAAGGAAGGGATGGTGCATGTAATTAGTTTGTATTTGTTGCTTCATCAATTTCTTCTAATTGTACATATATGTGATCAAGTTAAAATGCTCCGATGAACATTTATAGGTTTTTCATTAATAAATTCAATTTCAAAATTTGGGTCGTGTAATTATATGTAATATGTGAATGGGGAAGGAATTTTTTTATTTGAACTTTGTAAAAATTTTTATATCTGATTTTATATACTATAAATATACATTGTATAGCGCGAAAGTGTTTCTATTTTAATGTTACTAATTAATGGAACTTTTTAAAATTTCAAAACTTTTGATAGTCTAAGAGTCTAAGTTATATTGTCCATATTTAAAATGGTATTATATCGTTACCAATAGGAATTAGAGAACATTTTATATTCAAATTAATAAATATTTCCGTCACATTTACAGTTTTTGGGCGTGTGGTTCGAAGCTGAGAGGTATTTCCAACTTACAGAAGTAGTATCCCGATGTGTCATGGCGAACTATACCTTGAGTCCTGACGGTAAATTCCGTGTCAGCAATGAAGTAACAAACAGATTGTAAGTAGTACTACAAATTTATAATTAGTATTTATGATCACGATTAAAGTTTTTTGTTAAAAACTTGACAAATATCCCATTACTCTATAGCCACATAAATATTCGTAATGTGTATGCCTTCTCGACTGTAATTGTATCGTTCCACAGATAGGAATGAAAAAAACATTGTGTATATTAACTAAACATTAAATTAACAATATCGATTATAATAAATCGTACTGTGGGTAGACAAAGGTTGAAATGTAGTCTCAATATATGTATACATATACATAAAAATAATATTTTCGAAGGTAATAAGAATTAATTGTACCAATAATTGTACCAAAATTTTCATTTTATATTCAGAGAAAGCATGCACACATTAAACAGTTTTCAAGAAAAATTTGTAAAGAAACTATCCCTATATCTTCCGAAATTGTTCATTTAAATTAATTAAACGATAACCAGTCATGCCTCTGTTCACTGTAATCTGTCGCCTTTTATTCAATGATTTAGTTAATTTTTTATTAACCATCACCTATAATCTGTCATTTTTATGATGCTTAGTACTGGCATCAAGAGGGTAGTTGAGGGTGAAATCAAGAAAGCTGCTTCTAAAGCCGAAGAAGGAAAGCTGATCGTGAAGTATACAATACCGTTGACCCCAGAAACAAAATACTCTGTGCTCGAAACAGACTACAAAAACTATGCAGTTATGTGGAGCTGTTCTGGCATTGGTCCGTTCCACACTCAGAACGCTTGGGTGATGACGAGAGAAAGATTGGCCCCAGGCACAGTCTTGCAGCAGGTAATTTTGTAATTATAATTTCTCAAAAATTGAATCGTCTGCATTTAATAATCTTACACAGTTTAAATTGATCACAGAAATTCATATAGAATAAATTAAAAAAAATTCACCTTACATAGAAATGAAAATAACGATTTAAATTCTAAGATGTAAAAAATTCTCAACTATAAAATGACATTAATTTATGTAGGTCATTCGATTCTTGAAAACATTGAGTCCTCCACTGAATCCCACGATAATTCAAAATAGAATTCTAATCTACATATATTTATTAATATAGAATTACGAAAAAATTATTTGAAAAAAATAATATATTTGCATTCGAGTGACAGTAATCCGTTTCGTTATATACATAGTTTAGTTTCACGCTAAGTTGCAGACATAATCTACCATTATCTCGACGAGACAGCAATTTTTACACTATATTTTTATACAAGTAATAAAGATTTAGATACTAATACAGATTGTTACTATTATTAATTTCCTATATTTCTCACCATTCCAGGCTTACGCCGTCCTGGACAAGTACAAGATCTCGAGGACCTTCTTTGTGAAGACTGATCAGGACGACTGCGCTTATTTAGCGTCGCTACCAACGAAACCAGCTGAGCCAGAAGTTGAAGACGCAGAGAAACCAGAAAAAAAATCTGAGGAAGATACGTCATGCGTTAGATCCGCCGTGATACCAGACGCTCCATCGGTGATCGTTGACGCTGAAGTAGCTAAAGAGGATGAGGAACTGGTAGCGAGTGTTCCAGCCGACGAGAACTTGAGAAAGCTGGTCGTTAACACAGTTCCGGAACACATTATGGTAATCGCTGATAATATGAAAGAGGACCTGCTCATGGACAGCATAAAGATGGCGGAAGAGAAGAAACCGAGCGAACCTGAAATCGAGAAAGCCTCCGAGGCTATCAAAGACGCGGAATAGACTGGCTTGAATTGAGTATTACCGGTTGAGTTTCGGCTCGATCCATTCACGAAGAACGCGTGGTAGGTCGTATACGATTAGTTTAGTGGTTGTGCTCGGGCTCGTAGCAGTTTTTCCACGTCGAAAACCAGTCTCGTCGGAGCACCCACGATCATTATTCATCGTTCCTTCAGTGATTATCACTTTCATGGTTCATGGAGGGATTGGGGGATGCTTGTTTCATTTTATTATTATGTACAAATGTGAAAAAAAAGAAAAGTCGAATAAATTGTTACATAAAATGTTGATATGAAAAAGCTTGGATGTTTAATGTTCCCGTTTTGAAATACATTGAATTTTCGTATTGTTCATATTTACGATTGGAAGTATAATTTCGATTTGTTTAGGTACTGAAAGAAGAAATTGAAAATATACGGTAGGTCACCTTACAGTTATACTATTGAACTTTGACAGAAAATTTTACATGTATGAACTTTTGTTGAAGAGTAGATAGTTATTACACCAGAATTATTATTCTAGATATTGATAAGGACTTGGTGATGAAACATTAATAGGTTGAAATATAAAATGTGTACGGAATAAACTTCTATCGTTATATTTATGAGAATATAATAAAAATATAACAGTTAAAGAGAAAACAAAATAGATATATAGTATTCATTTTATTACAATAGTAAACGGTTCTATGATTCGAACAAATTCTTAGAGGAAAGTTATAAAAAATATCTCATCTTTACATTCACGATGCAAACATCATTAAGCTAGAAAGAAAAAATATATGTATATTAATTGTAACTAGTTCTTAGAATTCGTTGCAGGTATCAAGTATAAAAATATTAGTGGTTAGCGTGTACAAGGAATTTTATTATTCAAACAACCAGTAAAGACATTATCAAGAACCTGATACTCTGTTACCTTTAAATCTAAATTATGTATTTAATAATGATAAACGTCACAATTTTCTTTAAATACAATCCGTATAACACAACTACTACAATAAACTAGAAACTATAATAAACGTCAACAAAAAACTTCAAAAAATAAACAAATAAGACAGGAACGGTTACTACAGAAAACATAAAGAAAAATCAAAGTAATGATCCGAAAAAGATTGTTAAATTATGCCCCTTCGAATTTACACTTTTATTAAATTATTTTTTTTATTATTTACAACGATCTATCCTTTTTTAATTAATGAAACTTCATGTAGTTTCGACCAATCTTTTATTTTAATACGTGATCCGTTCACAGGCTAAAATGACTAACTTCACTTTTTGAGTTTTGTCAAATTTCAGTGGCAAAGCACTCGATTATGTTTTAACTTTTATAATTTTTATATTTTTGCATTTTTAACTTAACTTTCTATATTCTTTTATTTTTGTAGAGTTAATCACTTTGTCAAAAGAACAGCTCGCGCACGTGATTAAACCACATTAATACTTCAACATATCAATTTGTTTTGCATACACTTCGAAAGCTAATGAATAAATTTACGACACCGGCAGGATCAGGTACAAGGTAAATGGCCAGGTAAACATATACAGGGTGGGGCAATAACTATGTCTACTTTGAATGTTGCCGTTATTTGTAATAATATGAAAAAATGTTATATACAAAAGTTACACGGTATAGAGGGAGGCATATGGTGACACAAACATTTTCTGCGTGGGTGAAGGCATAGAGGAGATTTCAAGGTCATCTCTATTTTTTTTAATGGAATGCTATGTTTTTTTTATTGTGATGCGATAGCCGGTGTTGAGACGACTTCAGCGAACCGTCATTGAAGGTCATGCAAGGTGAAATGTGGTGGTAAAATAAACTTTCTTACATTACAGGAGATGCTCGAAGTGGTGACTGCGTCAATTGAAAGTTGGAATCTTCGTATCGCTGCATCACGTGCATGTTATTTTACTACCACATTTGACCTTGCATGACCATCAATGATAACTCGCTAAAGTCGTCTCAACACCGACTATTACATCACGATAAAAAAAACATAGCATTCGATTAAAAAAAATAGAGACGACCTTGAAATCTCTGTGCCTTCTCCCAAGCAGAATGCCCCCCTCTATACCGTGTAAGTTTTGTATATAACATTTTTTCATATAATTACAGATAACGGCATTATTCAAAGTGGACATAGTTATTGCCCCACCCTGTATAGAGTTCTTTCGTTGACCATTCTTAAATTTCAGGCCGCGAAACGGAACAGGCAATTCTTCAAGTACACCAGCGTAATAAATGTTAAAGGATGGGTCCACGGACAATTAACCGGCCGTAAATATGAATCGCGGACCCCGAGTTTTTTGAACTTGAAACGGTATACCGTTAGCGACCCACTAACTGACAGAAATTTTTCGAACGCATCCAGTCAGCCTTCGAGAGTTCGTCCGTGCAAGTGGAAGCAACCGGCAACGAACGGGAAGAGACCAGTCATCGGCGAACAGTTCGTCGCGTGAGAAGTGTAACACAGTCAATCTCGGACCAGTTCCAGGAGCCATCGACATTCCTCAGTGTGTACAACGTTTATCGATCTGGTACGTGTGTCCATTATCAAATCAATGCAACGCGCGGATTCGATTTTCATAGTTTTCACTCTGAATCGCGATCAGAGTTCATAGAACCCTCTCGGAGCGATGAATACGTGAATACTTGATGCGTCTTAAGTGGTAATGTCGGGAAATTTATTATCCTTTTTTATATATCTTATATAGAGAACGATGCATACATTTCAATTGTTTGAAAAAGGTCCCGATTTTTTTAACCCGCAACCACCCCTTATTATGCCAACTCACTTTTGTCCTCAAATCGTCCCTCATTATCCAACTTAATTTGCCCCTCGATGTTAAATTAACACAGTGGTAAAACATTACATGAAAACATTACGTGACTTTTATTTAATTTAAAATAAAAGTCACAAAGCTTCAGCTGCATTTACCTACATATGGCAGAATAACGTCATTCCTTAGAAGAAAACTGTGTCGAATTGACACAAAGGACAGATAAAGGTTAACGTTAGGACTATTGACGATTAATGTATAGGTATTTTTATCAAATTTGTGAACGGGACTGATTTTTTAAGTGAGAATAATTAATAATTCTTTTTGTTTCCACATTGTTCCGCAACGTTCATATCTCTGGAAATGAACTTTTTCGTGTTTGAGTAAGTTCTGTAAGAAGTTAACCCTTTGGGTATATTTGACGAGTGAGAGTCGTCATGCATTTCTTGTAGTAATGTGCAGAATAATGAGTTTAACTCGTCATACGATTTGGAACAATGTTTAGTAAATTTAAATTTGCACGTTGAAAGGTGATGTGTGTTTATGCACTTATAGCATCTTTTCACTTGGAAAATACAATAAACTGAAAGTTTTAATATAGTTCAATACTATTTATTATTATCAGTAGCGTAGTGAAGTTTATAGTACAGACTTCGAAGTTCTGCTCCATTTTACTTTTTTAAATACTACTATTTGAAATTGTGAAGTTGCATAAACTTCCGCCATCTAGCTATAGGCATGGAATTAGAAGCGGGACTGCCTACCAATGCAAAAGATGCCAGGTGCAATTACATTTACCTGAGAGCATTGAAAAATACTACACTCTTGAGAACTATTAGTAACTCACGTATTGTTATTTCTTTTAATTCTTCTTTTCTTTTTTTTGCAATATGTAATATATTTTAATGGCTCGAAATAGTCTTCAATACTATTCCACTTATTCGAAAAAATTGAATTTTTCCTTGTGGAAAAATTCTTTAAATTCAATCGGTACCCAAGGAGTTATGGATAAATCGTTTTCATTGCTTTGGTAGGTATAGTGTCAAAACTAGGGATAGATGGAAGAATTCGAAATGATTCAAAACTTTCAAGTGATAGTTTCTCAAGTCTTAAGTTCATTTAATTTTTACGAAAAATTGTCTACATGACATTAAATAGTATCATTAATAGCATTCATTAAATTGGGCAGTTAACACTTGGATTGTCAGACCCTGATCTTGAAACAAGTTCGTCCTAATCTGAAGTGAGTGTCCTCATATCAAACCATATTTCCCCCTTCTACTTTCTTCTGTTATAAAAAACACCGAAGAAATTTCATTTGATTTGAATAAATATTCCAGCTTCATCGCTTAAAGACATTCACTTTTTCTCTCCCTATTAATATATGTAGGTATTTTCATTGTCATCCTTCTAATGAATATTGAAAGTGCTATTTATAATTTCATTAAGTATAGAGGATATGACATTTAAATACTATACTGTCGATTTGCTAGAAGAATGACACATTTCAAAAATTTAATTTTGACATACAAGCATAAATCAACTGGAAAAATAAACTATTTTTATTGGAAAGAATTTCATTTAGGTACCCGATAAAATTGTACCATTTAACAAGAATTAAAAATTTAAACAATATTTTATTAGAGATCTTCAAACTCCAAGAACTATTAGTTAAATTATAAAAGACAACAAATTCGTATTGCAAAATGGTTGAATACTTAATAATATTCTATTACAACAAATTTCAAATTGATTTCCTGAAGAATTCACAATTTTTAATCATGCGACTCTCCTGACAAATCGTCAATATAATAAATAGTATACTTTTAGTCTGATGAAAATAAACCTCTGATAATAATATTAAACAAATTTTAATAATCGATTGTAAATCATGATGGAATTTATAGTCGTTATTGAATAAAACACGGAAATCTTCCAGATTTATAGCTTGTAGTGCAAAGTTAAAAAAAAATTATGTGATTACTGTGAAATTACTACTATTGGAAGTAATATCCTCTGATACCATCTTCGATTTATTTCAAACAGCATCCATAAATAACGGTGACTGTGCTGTTCCATAACTGCATCGTTTCTACAGCTTATAGACTGGAAGCTAACTGTTCTTTTGAAACGTGTTTTCATGCAAAACTGTAGTCATATTTGTTTCACGGAAAATGTTTGAGGACTTTACCCAGCCAAAAGTCTCCAGTCCGAAACATTTAAAATGAGTTATAACACACGTATTTAGTCTTATTATTTTAAATAGGAAATGCTCATTTCATGCGCGATAATTTCGTTTACAAGTAGGTGCTAAATACCAAATAATGCTAAAACAGTAATTTACATAAATATTATTTGATAATGTGTATTTCATGTGAATTTATAAAAATATGTTAAATGCGTTGTATTCTTCATAGATTAAATTCAAAAGATAGATTGAAAAATCTGAAGAAAATACTAGTTTCTAGCTTTTTTGAAACAAACAAAACTTTACCAAAAATTATAGTATCGCAATTTGAATGCAATCGTAGTTGCTAATAACCCTGCTGTTAGAAGTTGATGCGAGTATAAAGAATAAGTAAAAAAAGAACGGTATAAATCATTACAATTTTACTATATGTATTTAATTTTCAAAAATGTATCGAATACACACAATATCATTCTTAAATTATTTACTACTATTCAGCGATTTTTATATACTTTAAATACTGTTGAAATGAATTAAGTACAGTCTTTTTGAAACAAAAAATAAACTATTCCAGATTATCTTTTCAAAAAGTAGAATTATATTTCTTTAAAATCATTCTCTGTTGATGTCATACTTTCCATTTTATATGTCCAAGATTGAAGAAAGTATTTATATAAAAATAGAATGCATCAAGTAATCAATCGTAATTAGCAGAAACAAAAGTTGGAAACGTAGAACAAATCATGATAACAATGTCTGTTTATGACAATAAGGTTTGCAAAGTATACAGGATGTGCCATTTAAAACATTAAAAAAGTGAATAAACTCAAAAACATTAGTTTTTCGAAAAATGCAAAGGACTCTCACAAATCACAATCTCGCTTCGAACCATAAAAGTGACGTAACTGCTCTTGCCAGATAACTTATTAAGCTAAAAAATTACACTTTTGATAATTGGTCCAACAGCGTTTCTACAACTTTCTCGTAGTGATAATTCGAAAAACACGTTTTTCGAGTTGTGTCACTTTTGCAGCACGGGTGCAATATACACATCAAACAAAATTTTCACCTACTGATAATTATATATTATATGACGATCAAATGACGTTTCCGCATGTAGGTAAAGTAGTGGTAAAGAAACTTTTTTTGTGTCCGTAAACACCGATGGAAATATTATTTCCTTCCAGTTATATTTCTCTAGATTATTTATATACAAGCAAGTACTGTAAATTAACTGTGCTACTTTATTTCTAGGAAGAAATGTTTCGAGTGTGTCTACTACTGATCATCGCGAGAATGGCATCGGCGCAGGTGCCATTTCTTGGCGCATGTCCCAATTTGGAAGCTATGCAGAATTTCGACATAATAAGGGTGTGTATGAATAATATACATATAATTCAACGAGTAGTTTATCGGTCAAGTAGCGACAAACTTCAGAGGACAAGAATGAATTTCCTTCGTTCATCTATGTTATTGACTTACTTATGAGGCACCGCCTTCTGCACTTAGAAAGTTGTCCTCAATGGGACACTGATACACATCCGACGTAATGAGAGACACGCGAGGCATTTACGTGGAAATTCATTCAGACTTTCTTGGGTGGTGTTCCCAATTCTTTTCGTACACTTTGCTCTGTCATTTCGATAAAAGACTACGTTTTAACCTTCTTTTTCTAGTATATAGGGAAATGGTACGAAGTGGAGAGGTATTTCGCTCTTTTCGAATTCGGTGGTAAGTGCGTGACTGCGAACTACAGTCAAGGTGAAAATGGATCCATAAACATCTTGAATAAGCAGATATCTTCTCTGTAAGTAGTATTCGTTTATGCTTTCTAAACATCATTTGTATCTATGATATTTTTCATATTTCCGAAGTTGTAAATTCCTAGCTGCTTCTGAATATAGTTATTTGATAATCGACTACTAATATTATAACATAAATTATTACTTTTACTTTGTAGTTATGGTTCCAGTCCCGACAAAGAAAATTATAGCTTCACGCAGATCTTTCGATCAAAAATAAATATTATGCGTAACATTAAGCAATCCACTACTGTACTTTAATTATAGGATGACATATTTTAAATTAAAAATGTCTTCTCAACTTTTTGCTCCGCGTAAAAGTGATGCAAGAAATCAGAAAATTTGTATTAATATAAATGAAACAGTATAGATTCTTGACTTTTACAGAAACGAATTATTGCTTTCGCTAAAAATTAGTGGATTACTTATTGGTACACCTAATATATAATAATACTCTTATTAACAATTTGTTGGATTTATAGTCGAAAAGTTTTTTAGTTCCGAAGCATAAAATTGCGATCAATAGATTTCAATTTGTATCTTATTTCATGATCAAACACAGTTTCCACTACTTTTTAGAATTTCTGTCCTTTTTCGGATAACATCGTTGTAGCAATTACATAAAATCAAATTATTACTTTGATTGAAAAACTCTTCAAAAAAATTTTTAAACAACTTTTCTATTTGAAAATCTTTTCTTCTAACATAAAACATTTCCACGAATGGATTCAATGGTAATTTGACAAGGCAATATCTGATAAGTGGGACGGAAGCTGTACAATTTTCCGATTTTCGTAGAGTACTTTTTTTTTACACAATTAATATAGTACAATCGGAATGTAATTGTACTCTTTTACACTTGCTCACTTTCATTTTACACAGAAAATAGTAAATGGTGGTCTAACTCGTATAATGTATATGTATAAGATATTCGAAAGTGCCTCAGAGACAGTGTACTTTCGTCAGGTCAAACGAACTCTGATTTCTTTGATTAAAAATAATAAGTACACGGATATTCCGGATTAGTTGGTATTTTTACATTATATATGTAATGTGAAAATCAAGTAAAAAGTAAATAGCAATGTGGAGGTGTAACATGCAATTACAATCAAGAGACATATTAATGTAGGGATAGAGATGGTATGCGGTTACTGCTGATTAGTAGTGGCCACGGGCTATCAAAAGGGGTTTGTGAACGGTCAATACTATGTAGTCTGTATTAGTCAAGGATAATTGATGGTAGGCAAGGGATACCGAGTACATAGTGTGCGATAGTTACCTATCTATGTATACAGTTCAAAATATTAAACTAAAAACAAATAGTAAAGAAGAGAAATTGTGAGGATAGACATGGAAATTAATAGAACTTGATCTTTTTTTTCGCGTACTATAAGATTATTTTGACAATACTTATTGATAGTTCTGATGCAATACGAATTTTTTCTTAGAGTAATCTGAAGCAGAGTAAACTCAAGTACATTAAATCAAACGACTCACAATTTATTTAGAATATGTTAGGAAGGTAAAATGTCTTTAAAATTTGCCTTTTTGAAGTTAAAAGCTTTTTAATTTAAAGAACAGTTTATGAGACCCGATGAATGCTAAAATATTTTTTGGGATTGCCAAGGCAGTCGAAATTTTAACAACGTTAGGGAATTTACAGAAGTAGGTGTTAGACTTGAGTATTCTAAATTAGAATAACAAAATGTAGGTAAAAAAGCAATACAAAAGTTTAACCCACTTATTATTTAAATATTATATATAGCAGTTACTTGCTGAATCAAGTACTTCTATGGAATGCAATTAAAAACTTTGTGATCTGAATAGGACCGGCGTTTCTTCAAGTATTGAGGGAATCGGAAAGTCATTGGGCAGAACGAGTGAATCTAAATTAATCGTGACATTTCCTTCTCTACCTCTACCTGTGGACGCACCTTACTGGATTCTAGATACCGATTACGAAACTTACTCTGTTGTATGGAGTTGCTCAAACTTTAGTGTATTCAGGTAAATATATAGAAAAACAAATGTGTTACGTACATTCGATTTGACTACGAAAGCTTACACTCTTAAAAATAATGTCATATTGCTTCAAAATTACCGTTAGAAGGAAGAATTGATTAATGTAACACTTGGTGAAGCATTTGCTCTTTCATTTTTATATAACATCTGCAGTCATAAAGTGCAATAACATGAAATACGCATATATTCATTTACGGTACTGCTTTAGATATCTTTAACTAATTAATATATTGTTAGCAACATACAGGGCGTCTCAGCTAACTTGATCACCTAGAATAATGACTTAACGGTACACTTTATGAAAATTTTGAGACATGGAACTTAAATGACATCAAGGGACACATCTTATAAGGTACGTGCCTTTTTTTCTGGGTGAAGACATTTCAGAGATTTTAAGACCACCTTGATTTTTTTAAACGGAATGACCTATTTTTGTGCCATGGATCAATAGAGCATCGAATTCTGAGTAAAAATGTGTTGACCTTCATACGTCCTAAACCTAATAGTTAACGAGTTATTTACAAAATAATTATTAATACGTACTTACTATCTGGAAGTTATAGGCTATATGTAGGTCCTCGAACTGATCTCCCTCAACTTCAATACAGTGATTATTTTGTAAATAACTCGTTAACTATTAGGTTTAGGACGTATGAAGGTCAACACATTTTTACTCAGAATTCGATGCTCTATTGATCCATGGCACAAAAATAGGTCATTCCGTTTAAAAAAATCAAGGTGGTCTTAAAATCTCTGAAATGTCTTCACCCAGAAAAAAAGGCACGTACCTTATAAGATGTGCCCCTTGATGCCATTTAAGTTCCATGTCTCAAAATTTTCATAAAGTGTACCGTTAAATCATTATTCGAGGTGACCAAGTTAGCTGAGACACCCTGTATAATAATATATTATTTATAAAAAAATGAATTATTTTCTTATCTGTAGCTATTATAGTAAGAAACCATTACTGTGAATAAATAATAATGAATACTTGATAAAAAAACAACATTATTACGGTTAATAACAATATTGTTAAGTACAATAAAATAATTTAGTTATAATGAAATAATAATAATCGCCATTGTTACATTTTAGTGTTCGAAACGCATGGATCCTAACGAGAGAACCGAAACCGCCAGTTTCCGTTTTGGAGAAAGCTTATCAAATATTAGATAAAAATAGCATTAGCAGAGCATATTTTATTCGCACGGATCAGAAGAATTGCCCACGAGGAAATTAACGGACAAAATGTTGTAAAATATAGGAGTACGTTTTGTAAAGGGACAGTACATAGTCTTTCGTTGTTGTGATGTTAAAAAAGATTTTTGGGGCAGAACATTCTATGAATTCTTTACGTGTAAAAACTGCTCGAACTGATTCGTGATCTGACACAATTATTACTGTTATATAATTTAGATTTAATAATATTTATTTTATTGCGGTTAAGTAACTTAGGATTCGCTTTACCATACGTCGATAAAGTCAGTTGAACCGACAGATGGAAATGTCTACGTGTTTAATTTATTTTATCGTCGATCGAACTTCCTAATTTTTTGTGAATAATTTATTTACATACCGTTTTTTGAATAATATATTTAAATTACGGAAGTATACTTAACTATGTGTACTTAACTACGATGTAGGATAACGTACTTAATATGTATGTATGTTACGTACGTGGTTTGCAAACAGATCTTTTATCAGTTTAATTTACATTTTGTTATGTTAAGTTTTTATGTTTATAATATCTATTTATTTATTGTATAACATAATAGACTGAAAAATTACAAAGTGTATGATAATAAAGTATTTATTAAAACATTTCTGTAAATGAATCAATTTTTGAGTTTAAGGAGAACGAAACTACTTTTAATTCGCTGTTCCATAAAAAATATTTCTCCGCTATTTACATGGTACTTTTATCAAATACTTAAATCAATTACATATATCGTATTCGATTCAGATAACGGTGCATCTTACAAATGAACATTATCAACAGGATTCTTACTTACCATATTTTAATTGTACATCTGGACTTATCCGAAACATATTTGGAAATTATTTTGAAAATTATTATTTTTGATTATTCTAATAAAATGAAACTCTGATCTATACCATTAGATGTCGTGTCAATATTTACAAATCGGTACCGCCCCAAAACAGATAACTGTATGTCGGTAAAGAGTACTATGTACAAAGAATTCAATTTGCAGTATTTGTTTTGTTTACGTATTTAATTTAGAAAGCAGACTGCGTTTTAGAATTGTGAAGTTATACGTTACTAATTAAGATTATTTTCAGATATGGATGTCTGTGGTTATCTATATTTTTTTATTTTTTATGTACCTATTACGTATTTTCTGTAATGCAACCTGTTTTCAACAAAAAAATATACGTAAATACTTTTTAGCTTCCACGTTCTGTGACTAATGTGTTTACTAATAATAATTATTATATTTTTCTCAAATAGTTTTCTTTGCAGCTATCCTTTTTGGTTAACTGAAGACATATACATATATGTATTAATTACACACACTGTTTTATAGCGTACGAGTATTCATAATTTAAAAAAAATACCAGAAAGTAGTTTTCATTATTAAAAATTATTATTGTAAAAAAAATTACGAAACTTCTCTAATAAGTAAATTAATCTAAAATGTATTAATCTAAATAGTATGTAATTAATCTAACTATGTAACTATTCACTCAGTCTGAAAACTAGTTCCTACCATGGGAAGAACAAATATCATTCATCGAAAAGAAGACACACGTACAGCAATATCTCCATTGCTACACATCCGGGCTTAGTAACGCATAAAGTCATGAATGAAGATCAATACTTCATGTGAACCGTCAATATGAATACACGTATGAATCGCAAAACATCACATTTGCCATGCCAATAGAATAACCCCATAAAAACGTGCCGAGATTTTCACACGAGTTCTCATCGGAAGTCCAACCCGAGCGCAATCCCGTGTAAATAACACTCGTCTCGCCACCATCGTTTTCTCCCACGTTAAAAATGCAGGAAATAGGCCCATGCCGCAATAAATCGAGCGTCCACTAACGAAAACACCCGCGTCACAATACTGGTAAATTAAACAAATAACGCGGGTAGGGTGTGGCTGTGTCCCTAACGCGGCGGCGGTGTGTGTCACGTGTCGTCTGTGCAAACAGGCACCATTCAATTGCCGGACCTGCAGGATATGTCATCAGCGGTGCATTGTGGATCGAGGAGAAGAGACGAAGGATCCCACGAGTTTCCCCCACGTGAACGAGATTGCGTGAAAAAAAAGGGGGGAGGGGGACTTATAAATATCTCCTGTTGTGGACACGGTGTCCGACCATGCTTTAATTAATACATTTTCTTTCCGTTAAAGAGATCCTCGAAGATAAAAACCGTAAACTGCTGGGATGTCTCTCGAAGATCGGTTCGAGGACACACTGAGGCGAGAAACCAACCGGTCACTCGGTACAAAACAAGGCGTAAATACACATCGTTCTACCAGGACATTAGTTGATTAGAAGCGACGATGGGAGTCGTGTTTCTCTCTTCGAGGATAGGCGTTTCTGTAATCGGCACGATCGTCGGCGATAAATTAAAATGCGGTGGAGTCTAAATCAGGATCTAGATAGGTAGGCAAAGGCCCCCGTCGGGAGGAAACACGGAGAAGAACCCCCATCCCGAAATTTATTCGGCTATCCTTCTCCGTCTGGAACTACACTTACGCGCGAAATGAAGGGAGAGAGTACTGCGATGGTGGGACGGAGAGGAGGGGGGCGGAGAGCTGAACGCCTGGGTCGAAGAGACTGGAAGGCAGGCAGAGCAGAATGGGGGATGCGCGCGATCGTCTCTCAAGGCCCAAATATCCGCGTGGTCCATTCGGTTTTCGAGCAGCACCGGGCCCCTAATAATAGGGTACACCGAGGATAAACAAACATACACGCCCCTGGCATCTCTCGTTGAAAGAACACACGAGGAGAAATGTGAAAAAAAAAACAAAAACAAAAAAGAAACAATTTAGCCACGCCACTTAAAGGATGCGAGGTGAAGTATGATAGATACTGAAAGATTGAACAGAAAACCAGTTACTCAGCTCGATATGTGTCCGATGTTCGTCAGCTTTTGAAGTTAAACTCGAAATTTGAAAGGGCGAAGGGAGATGCGGTTCTCAGTATCCATCGAAATATGGCAGACTATAGATTTATGATGTTAAGGGGCTATACATATTGGTGCGAATGCTTGGAACCATAGAGTAACTTAGGGAATTCTTTTTAGGCAAATGATAACATGAATTGAAAATCGGATTTGAGGCCTTTAGTATGCATGGCTTTTAGTATATAAAATAATTCTTTTTTATTTTGTTATGTAAAAATGGCGGCGCTGGATATCTACAAAAGTAACTTGAAAACTTTCGGGGCTTGTAGTAAAAGTACCGTACACTTTTACCTAGGGCATAAAAAAAATTTTGTCATAATCTATATTAGATTTGTTAAAATACATATGATTTTTACGATTGGTTAAAAACTTGTCTTGTTATAAACCATTTTCACTGCAGTTTTTAGGTGAAAATGAACATTTTTTTTCAAATCTTTACCATTTATATAAAAATCAAAATTTTAGTATAAACGTGTTTACTTCTCTAGCAAATCTAACGTAGACTATGAAAAAATATTATTGTTTTGTGTACTAAGAGACATCCATAAATAAAGGCCTTAATCAGATTTTCCATTAATTTTATCATTTTGCTAAAAAATTACTAATGTTACCCTATGTTCTAAGCGTTCACAATAGTGTCATCCCTTAAAAGTTGTATTGAAAATAAGATATGTCTCTTTCGGTAACTTTCTCTAATTCAGTACATTAGTAGAACTTAGTTACGGGGATTTTTTAGTCTCATAATGTCCTTAGTGTGAGAATTAATTTACATTCAATTTATGTTTTATCTAAACGTCTGCAGTTTATACAACTTAAAATTTTGTAGACATGATAATAACAGTTTGCCGAAAGATAGCGGAGCTCCCCGTACTTTACTACGAAAAGTTCGATCACAGGGATTGCACTTTTGACATTTGATGTCGATTTACTCGCGTTACATCGCCTATTCTTAAAATGAAAGCTGAAATGTACATGCGGGGCTTGGCAGGATCTTAAAGGCTGCCATGTAATCAAGGAAAGTACAGATACGAGAGAATGGAACGATGGTCGGCAGACATTACATCTTGGATTTTAGCATTGTTTCTGAATAGACGCTAGTATTATACGGAGATACATCTGTGGTTCTCGGCGTTTCAAAGGATATTGGTATGACGTTGCTTCCTGTATTTTAATATATACGATTTTAACGAAAATAAGAATTTTTAATCAGAATAAGAATTTCAATTCTAAAATAAAATAGTTCTTATTTTGAATCTGGAAAGATAGTGAAAGGACGTTACGAATCAACACTTATTGTACATAGTTTTTGAGTAATCCATTTTTCGTATTAAATTCTTCCCCTTTTTGATATTGTTGTGCAATGACGATTAAAAAATTATAAAATTACATTTTCATATAACTGTATCATTAATATTACCCATGATTCTCACTACTTTATTGGCATCATTTGTTTTTAGAAAAGGCAAATTACATTTTGAAATGTCATTTTAATACTGATTTTCAAAACTATCAACAATAATATTTTATTATCATTATTATATGAGTAATAATAATAATAATAATTTTTATCACACTAAAAGTTTTTTAAGTAAACAAAAGTTTAGAGATATAAAAAGAGTTATAAAGAATTTTTGTTGTAAGAATATTTAAAAGTTAAGATTTGACAGTTCCTTACATTAATAATAAATCTATTTAAAAGGTAGAGACTTTTATTTAAAAATATGAAGGTTATAATTAAAATGATTTCATACTTATTTATGAACCCACTTTTATTATTTACATGATATTATATATTTCTTGCAATAAAACATCTACCGTTCTCCAATGCAGTTGCTTCTTTTCAAACAATGTTGATGACAAAAGTTGATAAGCTCCGGCTTATATTGTTGAGAATTCGTAAAATATCAGTGAGGCTTTTTAATCTAAATGGAAATACGCAGCGTGAAAGTTAAATGCCTTAGGGGTCGATCCATTTGTCTCTAGCACGTGCAAAAGACCAGCGAAGAGACGCGCAAAATGCGAGGAGTATACGAGGGTTTGAGTAAAAAGACCCGAGGAAGAAGCAGAGGAAGAAGAAG